ACGTTCCCAGTGGAACATAGGGCTTCAAGCTAGTGACTTGTAATTTCTGGATGGGGTTGCTAGCCTCATGCCCAACCTTTCCTCTTTACCAGCATTATTTCTGGCTTAGCGAGGTAAGGGAGTGCGTCGGCCGGGGATCGAACCCCGGACCATGTACATGGTGGGCGAGCGTCCTAACCGCTATGCCACTGACGCCCCAGTGTCAACTTATGGTGAATGATATTTTAAGTCTTATAATTTAGACGGCGGATATTCACTGTAAAGAAAAATATTAAGTGTTTGGTAGGAATCGAGTATTTCCTTAAATATTAAGAGTTAATAGACAGGAAACTCAGACTTTAGGGACAGAATTTTGACACTTATCAACAACCTTCTTGATATTCATGTCATCGAGGAGACAGTCAGTTTCAGTGTCAAAGTGCCCCTAGAACCTAGGCGTTTGGGTGGTGGGTGATGATTAATAACATTTATGGAAACGGAATATGCTTATGAATTTCGTGTCAACGGATAATTCCGAAATCAGATTAACTCCCTAACATTTTGATATATATATATATATTACCTCATACTGTAGAACCATTTTATTCAGCTAGGCATGTTACATAATGTATTATTTAATTTTGATCATAGTTTAGAGCTAAATAGTTCACCATATCACAATCAAGTATCCATCCGATTCGTGTTTAATTCATCTTATGGTCATTTTTTTCCTTATTCTACTGCGTTTAAATCTCTCAACATTACTGTCTATAAAAGTTTAAAAGGGCTTTTATAATGTCAACCTTTATTTTTTCGTCATAACCCAAGCTTAAAATAGAATTGGCTCTGATAATACACAATCATAATACATTTGGAATGAGTATTTCCAGGATTTGTCCTTAGACCTTCAATCCCCACTCCTGTCAAACCCTCATTTTCTAAGTTCCCATGTTTATATCATCATCAATGTGCGTTAAATTACGCTCATGTTAAAACTTTCTTCATCTAATTTAACTTAGGGAAAGCATGAAAATCCTAATTGGCGTGTAAATATTTAAATGGGACCATCATAATGATAGATGTGGCACGCATTCTTCGCCTCGCCCCTTATTTTAACCACCATATTTATGTATATATACATGTTTGTTAGTTATGATTAAATATTTTTGAGATTATCTCAAATTAGAGCCTTAATACGCTTGTTAATGTGTCTGGATAACCACATAGCAACTTGGCGTTCAACTGATTAGCGTTAGTCATTGTTAGTAGACGTGCTAATAAAGGTTGTCGTTATATAGCCTAAGGTTTAGACTAATAGTGAACAAAGTGACGCATTTATTATTACTATTATTATAATGAGACTAATCAATTCCCTACACAAAACTCAGCAGTGAGCAACGAAGAAATGAGTAAATTATATGAAGGTTTGTTTTTATTAGCATGTGTCATAATCGCATTCATGTGGAATGTCTAGGTTGTATTGAAACTATTCTGAATATGAAGACTATTTTGTCTGATAATACTACTAATAACAGGGGGTAGTTACTACTTTTAAAATATAAATTTTGTCTAGTGAAGCATTTAAAGTTTCTTCTCATCTGCTGAATTATAAGCTGTCAATAAATGAAACAAGAAACTCTGGCCACAAACCAACTGAAAACCTATCGCACAACAGATATGCAGGAGAAAATGGAGATGGATCGGGCACACATATAGAGGAGACCATTGAATGACATCGCGCGTAATGAAGACCATCGATAGAGTGAAATCCGAATTGAAGCGACGAGTGGATCGTTAATACGAGGTTGGCATGGAGGAGATAGTGCGAGTTGGAGGAAATTGGATATTATGGGGAATGGTGGACCCAGGTGAAGACGATGACAGAAAATAGGAGGAAGTGCAGATGTGTTGTTGAAGCCTTATGTTACACTTGGAACCTAAGGGAATAATAATAATAAATAAATAAAAGATCAACCGTGTCAACCAATGACCTAGGACTAAAGGACCGTTCATCTTTTTGTATGATTTCCACGTGATAGGTTTTAGTCGATAAAACTGAAGATAGAAACTTTAAGTGGATTGCCTCATTAACTTTGTAGATTGGTGGACTGACTGATTCCCTATCAAAGTATTTTAAAGCGTCAAATGTCTCAGAAATGTTGTTTCATATCCAATAGCTATACTAGGCTCTCTATCTTCACCTCCAGTTGACTTTATTTGATGAAACTATAAACAGTGTGTAACCGTCCTGTCAATGTTTCATATATATGAAATTACATGAATAACAATTAACATGGAGGTATTTCAGTGCTCATAAGCTACCAAGTGATAATGAGAATTCCTGGAGACTCATTTGGACGTTTACGTCTAAAAAAACAGAACATGGTATCTCGGAAATACATAATTTTGTAAATACTGATATATATTATATGTGTAAAAAACCATACAATGCTCCATACTACTGATTGACTGATATGAGTAGTTGAATATTACTTAAATCGACTAGTGCTACTTGTTAATCAGACGGCCGTTTCCTCATTTGCGGATGAGGTCATCAGCGGTGTACCCAGTTTGACTCAGCCTAGACAGCTGAATCAGTTCGGACTGCCCGAATTCTGACTAGCTACTTAGACAATTGGGTATTAAGTGGAGTCAGATATGTTATTTGTAAATCACACATCTCGAGGCAGAAATTCATTGCCGTATCCTTTAGAAACCAAAATTATTTAGACAGCAATCTGTGATCTGGATGATATTATAAGTGGTAATCAACAAAACAAACGTGATATCATATATATATACATATTGCTGACAGGTTGATATAAGTACTAAGAATGGTACTGATGTCAACCAGTAGTACAAATCACGAATTCTTATTCTATGATTTAAAAAGTTATTGTTAACAAGTAAAACTGAACACATTGTTTGCAGTTTCAGTTTTAACTTTTTAATGACTTTAATGAAAAATTAGATGTTTGGGGGAAATCGGAAGGAAGCCTTTGACCTAGGTTTCATGTTAGTTGGCACACAACAGTGAGCAAGGCATATATCTGCAACCTTGAAGGAACTCATTTCCTATCTGAGATTCAACCCATATCACCCGGTGGGTACTGCAGTCAGAGACGTTACCATTGAGCTGTTCGGGTTTGCAACTGACCTACTGTAGGGCTGTAGTGGATACTTTTGATTGGACAATAGTTAGTAACTGGTGTAATGTGTCTAGTTATTTCTTTTTTTTCGTTTAACTGACGCCAGACTCGAATGGAATGCAAATACACCTCACCTACTGAATACTGGTCAGAGGGATATTCAGCTTGTGAAGAAAAATAGTAAAGATATACACTCGATGATGAGCTGACAGCACAACTCCGGATGCTACTTTATAGAAGTTATAGAATTGAGAAAAATGTGCGTTGTGATGATTAAAATCAAGTTCTGTGACATAGAGTTTACATATAACTGAGAGGATGTCCACTTCAAGTGGATGGTATTGTAGCTTTTGTGTTCTCTGAACAAGATGATTTCGTTAAATATATTTCATTGTCTTCCTGAATAACATCGTCATTGTAGACTTAAATATGACCAGAAGATTTCAGTTCAGAGGCATGTGAGTGTGATAATATACACAAAGTGATAATGTAAATTGAATATCTAATAAAATTAAGGAGGAAATCTATGAGATAATTAAAGATATTTAAAACAATAGTAGCTGATAAATGGCCTAGAGAAAAGAAGAAATTATCAGATTATAGCAATCAAGTAATTATATTCAGGCGTAGGTTTTCATGGGATTTGATTGGTTTTAAGATTTTATCATGGACTGACACCGGTTAGAGAAAATATTGGAGAAATTGGAGTACTGGTGGACAGCTGCTTCGCCATATCGTGAATTGGCAGAAGTTGGGATTCATGGAGTGACCACTGGCTTGGGTCCCACTGGCTTAATGGCCTACGAGCTCGCCTTGTAACTATAAGCTCCTGGGTCCAAACCCTGATGGTTGGTGCGTACTGATGAAGAGCTTAAAACTAGGCTGACGAAACAGCCGCCCAGTACTCTCCGGTGGTTTTCCAATGGTTTTCTAACCGATGTCAGCTCATGATAAAATCCTGGAATCAAGTAATTATAGCCAAAGTAAGGAAAGTGGCTATACTAACTTCTTCTGAACACATAAGTTTGCCTAGTTCGGGTTGTTTCTCACGGCTTCAGGTTTATGTTGAAGATATACTCGGAAGACAAAATTGAGATTAGTCGAAATACGGCAGATAACTTTGAATGCATTGTTAACACCAACTTTATGTCCGCTGTTTACAAGATGAGGTAAAAGACAGTTGTGAATACACTTTGTTTATCACTACTTAACCATGGATGATGATATTCAACATGCTTTATCGCACATACGATATGAGTAGATTCACAAGAGCAGTTGAACTGGTAAGTACACACAGGAGACTAATTACCAAGTGTTGGTTTGCAAGGAATTCGTAACCAGCGGTTGTCAGCAAGTCATTGGCTAGCGCCTGCGCCCATATACATCATGATTTGACAGAATTTGGAATCGATAGGCTTGTAACCGGAATATCCCGAATTCGAACCACAGTGGATGCGTACTGTTGAACAGCTGTTCAGTACTCTGTGGTTTTCTAATGGTTCTCTAACTGATGTTAATTTGTAATCAAACCTTTAATACTTAGAAGAAGCGAAATCATCTTGTACTAGATGCTCTTTAATCAGCTGTAATCCTTATGAGAAGCTGGTTTATGGCAGTCCGCCTTCTAACTAAGTAGAAATATACTAGTGATTTCCCAGTGAAGTTTCCGAAAATAGTTTAAATAAATTTGTGATAGGAAATGTTGTTCTGGTGTTGTAGTCTCTGACGATGCATATCTTTCTGTTCAAAGCAGTATGTAGACTGACTGGCTGACTTTACTCAGTGAATTTGTAAACAGCAAAACTCCATTGTAATGCCTTCATTTTAATCCGCTAATCTGACTTCTATCTTTCTTTCCTCTCTATTTATCAGGAGGGCAAAACAGATGGTCAAAAAGACTTGGTTGATAATCTATTAGATTCGTATAGTTCAGCTGCGTATACATTAAGTGATTTACAACAACGTCCTCTACCACCAGAATTGGATGCAACTTGTTTAGAAACTTATTTGGACGATAAAACTTTCCAGGTAAGTTACACAACCATGAAGTACCTATTTGTGTATATATATTGATGTTGTGTAGGAAGGTTGAAGTATAACTTTATTAACTGGTTTGTCAATAGGAAGACTCTCGTTCATGAATGCACCTCTGTGAATCAAAATTAATCAATCAATCAGTTAGTCATTTGCAAAGGAATCGAACGATGTTATCAGTACAACAGTTTCTTTAAACTCACGATGTGTTACTGACTAGAAGTCATTTCCAGAACAGACAGATCACAATGCTTGATCCTGCGATTTTAAGACCCCACATCTCTTCACTTGCATAAAATCGACCTAACACTTGTGAATCTGTAGCTGCTGATTGGTCTTGGTAATTGACTTTCAGCCGCTGGGTCACAGGTTCAGGCTCCGTTCGCCAAGTAGTATCACTAGTCCTTACATTGATGTAAATTCCAGATTATAATGATGAGTACTCTTTAATCCTTATGAATTACAAACCAAATGATTGTAAGTATATATCTATCAGAGAAGAGAAGATGAGCGTATAGTGAACATTACTACTCGCTGAAATAGTTTTCTATGTATTAATGATATATTTTCATCCTTGTCAAATGATTTTAACATACACTGATATCATTTGTGTAGTCCTTTCAAAAACTGTTTTCACCCATGCAACAATCTTTGTTCTGATATTAAAAAAACAGAGAAGGATGCTGTCTAGACATGGCATATGATTACATCAATGGTTTTGAAGTCTCTTTTTGTAAATGCATTCCTGTCTAGTCACTCACTCACTCATTCACTAATATTGTCAACGAATACAATTCACTCATCCCATTTCAGTTGATACTGACGATATATTCCCCTTCACAAGAGATTTCAATGTATAACCTGACAGTGCTGCAAAGTTTTATTAAAACACGTGAATAAATATATCAGTATAAAATGCTAAAAGCGTAATTAAATACTTCAACGTTGATTTATGAAAATAAACTCGAATATAAAGTAGGTATTCGGTAGGTATTTAGGTACAATAAATAGGATCAACTGTTTGTATTTTCATTCCTTGGCATTTCACATGGAACAAAAGGTATCTATCAAACTTCAGCTTGGAAATGTCAGCAGAAGTAATGTTCTTTCTGGGGAATAGGTTAACTAGCCCTGCTCCAAACCATTCCCTCTTCTCCCGACTTATTACCTATCAATCAGACAGTAAATCAGGCGAGGTTTAGGGGTAGGTTGACAGGGAACTTCGAACTCAGGACTAAATGGTGGTTGTTTGTGAATATTCAACCACTGAACCGCAGGCAAACAAAATCCAATCTACCCAATTAATAAAGTTGTTGTATGATTCTGGATATACATATCGAGCGCAACTATTTCTGAATACGTTAAATAAAATCAAAACCAAGTAGCTAGCGAGAAATCGGATGGTTTGAAATGACTCGGCTTTTTGGGTTATGTCCAACTGAGTACACCTTTGATGAGCTCGACCCCAAATCAGTGAAAAATGGCTGTCTAACCACTTCGATTTGGCCAGTAAGCAGTACTGGTTCATGTGAGTGGTATTTAACTACTCATTTTAATCAATCAGTAGTATATAGCGTCGAATTACTACTTTTTGTCTGTTGTGCATTTACTTCTTTAAAAAATCTCTGATGAACACAAATGAACTGTTTACGTTACCCAATGTAGTCAACTATAGTCGACCTAAACGACATTTCAGCGAGGAAAATTTTCTTTATCAACGAAATCATCTCCACAGGCTGAACACTCGTATTTATATTTACCGAAAATGTATAGTAGTCCATTATTGAGGAAGGGAGAGAGGGGGCTGAAATCATTGATATAATTACCCAGAATTGGATTCAAAAATAAAATTGAAAGTTACAAATTATGTAATAGTCAACGGCACAAAGGGAGAAGGCGTTAGAAATTCGATAAGGTTAAAATTGTTGTTGAGTGAGAAGAAGAGTAGTTGAGTGCCCATTTAACAAATGTGAAGAGGGTGAGAAAATGTACAAAAGGAAAGTGTGAGAGTGATAATAGTGAATTAATTATTAAAGTAAAAGCAAAGTAATCATTAAAAAATAAAAAAATTTACAGGGCACAATTAATGAAGAGGTTAAGACCATAGTAGAATAAGAGACTGGACAGACTTTCTCTGTATACAGAGTTCAGCGTTGTATCGACGAATTGCCAATTCCTCTATCATACACAAATGCCGAAACCTGACACCCTTTATACCATTAGGCCTCACTTTGTAGATGACCTTGAAGGACGACTCTGGTGGAGCTGTCTGGCTTGATTTCACCAAGTGCTCGAGAATTGAGCCAGTAACTGTCTCGCATTGTCTTTTTGCTAACCATGCCGGATGATGTTCAGAGATCCGTTTGGAAAGTGTGCGCTTTATGTGGACAATACAACTAGCTCCGCAGGAGTAGGTGAATTTATAAATACATATTGAAGTGGTGCGTACCAGTAGTTTATTCCTCATACATCCATTGATTATTTGTCGGCTGTAGAAACTGATCCGTAGTTCGGCCGACGAAAAGGCTTTTCTCAGTGATCTGGATACACAGTTTTTCACAGTCTCAGCTGTTCATAAATAGCAGTTTCTTTGGGTTTTTGTCTTATTTCCACGTTTTCCTCGATAAATCTTGGAAGATATCCATTTTTCACGCTGACTTGTTTGAGTCTCTCCAGTTCACCATCGACTGTGCCGCTGGTGAATATCCTTCTTATTCTTGAGGATAAGGAGTGAATAGGATTTCTCTTTCCTCTTAAAGCGACCAAACCATGGAAATTCGTGCATTGACCATTCCATTTTTGTTTCCTGTAGATCGATCTTTGAAGGGAACCGTCAAATCTTCTTTTTAGCTAAACATTAAATTCCGAGCTCAACTCTGATTCCGACGTGAACTGGATAGTATGATGGCAGTTGTTGAACTCCTTAGTTATAATATCGATATTGGTATTCTCGTCACATATGATAAAAGTATCATCTATGTACCTTTGGCACATATAGAAACTCTCAATAATGGTCGTAACACACTATTCTCTAGAATCGTTAAGAAGCAGTCTGCAAGTAAAGGACCCATTGGCGATGCCATTGCCACTCCATCCCTTTGTCTAAAGAGCGTATTGTTGATCTTGAATTGGTCATTAGAAGTGCATCTCAATAGTAGTTCCTTTAAGTAGTGGGCCACAATACCCACGTGCAAATTATTAACTTCGATGAATTTGCATATAAATCAAAAAGTTTGTCAGTGAGAGGAACATTAGTGGAGGGAGAATTAGCATCCAGAGATATCATTTTCTTCTTAAATACATCAGAATCCCTTATTGAATAGTCGGATTCGGATGAATTTGAAACACTATGCTGGCAGAGATTATTACTGATAGGTAGAAGGGATGCCTGTGAGCCATTCGGCAGTAACATGATATGGTAAATTTGTCATATCCAAGATTGGACGTAGTGCTACCTAGTCTTTGTTCACTTTCAGGAGACCATGTAATCGAATTAATGGTAAAAATCATTAATTTCTGTACTGTACAGGCTGTAAGATAAATTTTCAAATATAATTTCAGACTAGATTATACAGAGCTCTTGCATCTACTTCATTTTGGTAATAAATATGTACAATAAACAATAAATTACTTATTAAAGAACTATGTACTAATATAAAGAATGACATTTAGTTTATGCTTCTGTGTTATAGAAAGAATGAAACAGTTTAACAGACTGCTACTTTATATATATCCGATTAATACCAATCACTTATAGTTATTTGTACACTGACAACAAGAAGCAGAATATTTCATGATATCAAGAAAACTATCGCGTGCACTTTAATCATGTGATCTGTATTCGTCTATTGATCAGCTGATAATCAGCTGATCAGTTGATAAACACCTAATCATGTTATATGGATAGAAATAGTGTCCAGAACGAAAAATATAACCTAGATAAAGGGAATAGTGACTTCGCAATTTTCATTGAACATGTTGTCTATTCGAATGTTTCTACTGCTTTGAAGTTTATAAGGAATCAGTACAAAAAGGCTACTAAAGTGAATGAAAGTATGTGCTGATTTCTGAAAAAGTCACTTTTATATCTACTTACTTTAATGGTTGCCTGGATAAATTCTAACAAGTCAGCTAAGCTCCGTTGAAGTCAACTGGTCCGTAATTACTAAATTTTGTCCGTTTCGTAACCTGGAGGTTTGGGATCCCATTCTTGTTGAGGTCATAGGTGTGTGTAGATTCCCAAACTAGGACAAAGCAGCTGTCAAGTACTCCAGTACTGGTGTCACTTTGTTATCTAACTTGAAACCAATGAAAACCCTTTCGAAAACAACACAGGAAAATCAGGAAAGATCAACTTTACAGTATCACAGTATTTCATTTGGTTTTATAGGTTTTCATTAACTGTAAATAACCTTATGTTACACTGGTTATAGTACAATAAAAGTGTTATTTTAGACTTTGTTTCTACAATAAAAAGGCATAATAAATTAGAGTATCAAAAATGCAGAATACTGAAATAATACGCATCTCAATTTGTAGCTCAATCGAACATCAGTTTATGTGATTTCAAATAAAATGATTAGAAGTGTTAAGAAAGGGGAGACTAATTAGCATACGAAGAAATTATAGACCTCAAGATTGAAATCAACTCTATGGTGAGTTGAAATGATAAGCTTGAGTAAAGTATCAAATAAAGGATCATGCAATGAATTTAGAACGAATCAAAATATAGTTATCATTAGAATTAGAAACTGATCTCAGATACACACACATGTATACGTGGATCCTGTTGAAAATATCTTGTGATAATGGCTTCCATGAAACCTGGTTGTGCTGGCATTTTATGTATACATTTAAAAAGGAATTAAAGATGTCAAGAAAATGTCTCATATCACCTCATGCGAGTTCTTGTCTCTCCTTTCTTCCAAAATATTTCCTTCTTGAGGCATACGTGAAACCATAGACACAATTGAAGGTGACTTTTAGCATTGTGCTTCACTTCTGAGTGAAACGGAGGGCTCCAGCAGCTCAATTACATCTCACTCTGTTACTTGCAGTCAGTTTTAGCTAGCTCCACAACTGCCCACAAACTTTCAATTCCTTCTCACACGATCTCTTTTATATCACCGTTGGACGACCAACATATCATTTCCCACTGATGTCACTAAACAGTCTCATCAGCGTGTATATTTTATCCGTGTCCATATTTGCTGCACTATCAGAATTCGGTGGTGCTTCTCCTTTCCGGTCAGCTGTCTGATCATTCAAGTTTTGGTTTGTAGGGATTTGATTGATTGGTTACAGGATTTCATCATGAGCTGACATTGGTTAGAGAACCATTGAAAACCACCTGGGAGTACTGGAGAGCTGTTTCGTCCTAGCTTGGGGCTCTTCAAAAGTGAGCACCCACTGTTAGGGTCTGAACTCAGGACCTTCTGGTTACATTAAGCCACTGGGACCCGAACCTATGGCCACTTCACGAATTCTAACTTCTGCCATTCAAGGTATAGCGTGACCACTAGCCAATATCTTCTGGGAGTGTTTGTCCTCACACCCGACCTGCTACATCCTACTAGTCACGACTTCTCACTAGAATCCAAGGTAACTACCTACCTGAATAGGGCCAGTCGCGAGAACCCATAAGGTCCTGGGTTCGAACCCCGGTGAGCGCTTACTGGTGAAGAGCTCCAAATTAGGACTAAACAGCTGTGCATTGCCCCAGGTGGTTCGCCAGTGGTTCTCTAACCAATGCCAACTCATCATGAAATCCTGTCTGATCTTCATCATCCAAGCAATGAAGGCGGTTGTTGACGAAAATCTTCTTGAAAGTGCAGGAAATGCTTTTGGTGATGCACTCATCAAGTTTCCAAACAATGTCGAAGCACTGGCCTAATATTACTGATAAAAACCCATATCTTACTCGGTATGCTGAATGCAGCAGATTTCCACTTTGATACCAGAGTAATGAAGGTGTGTTTTTCTAATCCTGACTTTGATATCTTCATCTGTGCCATTTGTAGTTGAAACAGTGCTGCCTAGCCAGGTTAACTGGAAGAGGCAACTTACCTTAGATTTCTCCTGTAGATAGTGATATTGGGTGTTTTCTGTTTTGGACCAGATACCTTCATGCCTTTATCTTTTATTTGTTCAACTGAAGTCCTGTATTCACCACTTGCTTCTGCTGTTAAATTGTTGGTTGTCACCTGCAGATCTTCGAGTTTTGTAACACCTAGACATAAACCTCCATAAGATGAAGGTCTTCAAGGATGTCTTCTTGTCCGTTCAACGTATTACCGTTTTCCCACTGCATATGAACGATCTTTTGCATGAATCAGTACACTACCACAATCACGAAGACCATCGATGACAGTACACAGCTTCTTCCCTTCACTTTAGATTTGGCGTCATCTTGTAGCTGTTGAATGCAGTTTATAAATGTTTTCGGTTTCGCACCACGTAATATTGAAGTAGTTCTCAAGTTAAATTACGGTCAATGCTATGGAAGGCCTCCTGTAAGTTGATGAAATACAAACAGAGAGTTGATTGCCATTCTACCCTGTGTTTGTTGTTGATTTCCTCTTCTTTAATGCAGCTTGTTTCAGGTGATGTTTCGCATCCAGAACATCTTTTAGTCTCTCCAGGATGATGCAGCATACTTGCATACCAGTTCCTTACACAAAAAGTTGAAGTGGCTCACAAATAGTGTCGTATAAATAGATGGCATGAGTTTGATTATAGAAAAAGAAATTTTTGTAAATTTTATTGTTTTTCACTTCTTTCATGTTTCATCAGCATCTAGAACCTCATAGTATTGATAATTTCTCTAGGGTATTGAAATATTTAGTATCGAATGAAAACAGCTGTTCAGAAATTTGTTTAACTGATACATAATTGCCTGCATTTTTCATTGTTTTCTTTTCTTTTAGGCTGTATTTTCTATGTCTAGAGAAGAATTTGCAAAATTACCCATCTGGAAACAGACAGAATTGAAAAAACCATTAGGATTATTTTAATCGGGATTACTCCTCTCTTTCCCTCTTCCCTGTGTGTGTGGTGTTCACATCAAAACAATCCCTATGATGAAACACTCAAATACACATGCATACAAAAGCGCACCGACACACACGCACACGCCCAAACAGAGAGATGTATCCATCAGAAGTATTTCCCTTCTTTCCCTTTGATCTATCTTGATCAAGGCATTCAGTCGTTTGTTTGTTTGTTGAAATAAAGAAAACGAAAAGTGTAAACACCCTTCATCAGTAATAATTTGATGACAACAATTCACTTCAACTCAATTCATATATGCATATCATTCAGATCTACACAGATTTAAAAACATAAATATACATCAGACACATATAAACCTACGAATATGAGTTCAGTAAATCCCCCGGAAATGATCAATCAGCCTGATTTGTTGTAGAGCTCTTCTAGCTCCGTGTCACTAAATATCCCTCTGGAATGTAATAAAACCACTTTTCTTCACAATAAAAATATTGACAAGCACAGACCACTCTATTCATCACAATAAACTACACATTTATACATATACATATATATATATATATATATATATATATATATATATATATAATTTTATGGTATCTGGTTTAAAAAAGAGTCTTTGTTGACTGATTACAATGCATATGAACTGTTTTACTGCACTATTTTTTTATATGAATATATCAAAATGAAACGGAGATAAAGAGATATTAACTCAATCCCACTAAAACTACTAATAAGGCAGTCAGTAGTATCATCCATTGTCATTCACTTTTATTTCATACTCAAATCCCAAGCTTATCGACTTTCTTCTCTTGTTATTTTTTGATACTGTTCATAATGGTGTGTAAGTGCCTTTGTATGTGTAAAGTATGTCTAATCGTATTAATTTATCACCATATTATTATTATTATTGTGATTTCTATGCATACTGTACAAACCAATACATCATAGATGGGATTTGGGGCTGGGGTGGAGGAAGAATGGATAATTCACTCTTTACTGACTCTTAGAAGAGACGTTGTATTCCTCTTCCCTATCTCCCTTCTCCTCGTCCCGATTACTCGACATCACTCACTGATAAAGAAAGTATAGTGGATGGTGTAATTTTCGACTTATTTAGATAACTGATATATTATTATTGTCTTTCATCATATAATGTGTATAACAGTCTGGATAGATTAAACATCACAATGAGAATAAATACATTCATCATTTATTTACTTACTGTTTGCTGTGTTCCTTTGTATTTATTATTTGATTTTCACTGCTTCTATAAAAATGACATTGAGAACCCTCCAGCTCCCCCCACCGCACCGACATGCACTCACACACATGCATACATACATGCATAAACTTTGTCAATCATTATCTGCAGTCTCTACTAATTGGTGCCATTATTATTGTTATTGTTATGATTAATTAATATTGCTTGTATCTTTTTAACCTTTTAAATGTCATAATCTCTTCTTTCTCTTTGTCGCTCTTGTTCGATCGCTATTTCTGTGTTATTTTATATGTACTTGAACTGAGTTACCCTTTGTTTGTTTGTTTTTTGACATAAAACACATTTGCATTACACATATATGATGATAATAATTCTTTTTTTAAATAATACTTCTTATTCCCCTCCCCTTTCGTCGGTAGGTCACGGGTAGAACGCTCACCAAACAGTCACTTCCTCTGAAGTTCGATCCTTAACTAACGTACTCCTAAACTTTACTAAACTGTTAGTAAGGCTAGTAAAGAGGAAGATTAGGTGTGAGAGGCTAGCAACCCCTCCGTGCAAAAATAAACACCACTGTTACTGCAATTTAAAGGCTCTAGCTTGAAGTTGTGTGTTTCACTGGGAGAATGTAAAAGAATGAAATTAATGACCTATGATGAGATGACTGGGACTAACATTAAATCATTCCACTTCGCGTTGATTAATTGGCTTTTACTGGGTAGGAATGTTCAGTCTCTTCTGTTGATATGTTGGTTCCGAGTTAAGAGTAAGACACTATGTCACTTGGCTTTGTGGTAGCAAGTAGTAGAGTCCAGCAATCTCTGCTTTTCCTGCTTGAGAGTCGTCGCCTAGATAGGTCCCCACTGAGCGGTGGTGTTTTCACTGGGATTCGAAGCCAATACATTTGGTGACCAAAACTGAGTCGTTATGGTCTGAATGCAGAAAACCGTTCTCTACAATCTCTCTGTATAGCTGAGCAAAACTTTCTTGAGATATGCTCAGTCACGAAGTGCTCTATAGGCAGTAAAAAGACGATTATTCTGGAACAAGCAATTACAACCAGGTAGAATATTCCTCAAAAAGGTGGGATTAAAACCTCTGTTCACAAGAATTATGCACCAATGCTTCGCGCGGACAGTTCAAGGTCAGAAATGTCCTCTATTCACTCAAACAAAATCACAATTGTTAAACAACAGATTATCAATATATAGCACAACCATAAAGGGAAGCATTAAAATTATAGGATAAACAGAGACAAAGGCAAATGATAGGGGTCAAATTAGCATATGATATGCAAATGTCGTAACAATGATATACATTCTTGAAGAAAAATGGACAATAATTACAAAGTTAGTCGAAATGTTCAAATAAGTACAAATACTGAGATTAGGTCGTTGAGAAAGGGCTTCCCAAACAATTTTTCCGTGACAGTACTCACCGTTTGGAACACCAATAAGTTATCGTTTCGGTGCTTAAGACGATAGGTACAGATTTAGAGTTTCAGTAAGAACACTATCATTTATTGGAGTTGTAGCGACATCCAACTAGAGGGTATTATCTTCGGTATTCCACTACTAGCCATGCCTAACCAAGTATTGCCATAGAATCTGATATAAAGTTTGGCATCAGAAATGGAAATGGTGATGAAGATGTCAGTGTACGAGGTGCTAAAGAGGCTGGAGAAAAGTATAAAGGAAGGCAGGTAGAATGAAAGCAAAAAGAAAAAGTGCTCAGTAGTTTTGAATAGATTAAAAGTTTCTGTAGTCGCATCATTACCATTGCAGACACTCACAGATCATGGTATTTAATATAGATAAAACCTGTGTATTGTGATAATATACTTTTGATTCCATATTTAGAAAAAAACAAAAGTTATTCGGTAGTTTGAGAAAATACAGATAGATATAGGTCTTTCGAAGCATGTTGTATCTCAAAGAGTCAAAGAACATCATCCTGCTTACCTACGAAGACGTAACTGCGGATAAGTAAGGAGTCCTATCATTCACCAAAGTGAAAAGAAGTATCCCTAAAATAGTAAGCCCCAAAAATATCAGTTGTTCTGCAAAAATTACCTTTTATATGCAACAGCATTGGTGACTTGTATGGTAAAAGTTGACCGGATGAAGAAAATCGAAACGATTGTCTATCTTGAACTGTACGTAAATTACTCTTTGCTTCACTGATATCCTCGGTGCTTGTTAAACCTGCTTTCGCCGATTCAGCAAGAATTGAATTCTCCACATTAAAATCTAGAAGAATTAAGGAAAAAGAAAAAAAGAGGAAAAGAAATAGAGAAGAAGAATTACACTCATGTGATTGACTAAACTCTTGCAGATAAGTTAAGCTACAGAAGAGATTTAATGAAGAACGAGTCTAGCATTCATTTCCTCGATGTGAACTTATCAAGAAGGACCGATGGAACTCTGAAGAGATCGATTTATCGTAAGCTGTTGTTGAATGGTCAACTGACAAATTTCTACAGCTGGGTACCCATTGGTCGAAAACGAAACCTGGTCCGGTCGCTTGCCACTCGTATTCGACGCATATGTAGCACTGATTCTGTGGAAGATGAGTTATACATTTTGAGGAAAATCCTAATGGGAAGTGAATTTCCACCACGTTTTATAGATAAGAATATACATTCAAAGCCTAAAAAACGTGACTTATCAACCGCTCCCAAGAAAATACTTTACATGAGCTTAGAATTCAAAGGGGACTTAGCTTCCGATACTATGAAAAGAAGGGTATCACAGTCCTTGAAAACAACACTTCCCTCTGCAACTCTGAGAATAGCCTCACCAGTCGACCATTACTGTTCAGTAACCTGAAGGACAAGATCCCGCTATTGACCAACTTTATGTGTGTTTATCAATTCACCTGGTCGTGTGAAGCTAGGTATATCGGTCGTTTGACTCGAGTTTTGTCCAAGAGGGTGCAAGAACACTATCCTGCATGATTACGAAGAGGTGGAAGTGGAGCAATAAGAAGCGCGATCATCGAACATCTGGTCGATAATGACCACCCTACCTTTATAGCCTCCGCCTTTAAAAATATTTACAAGGCAAAAAGTAATTTACCAAAATCACGAAGCACCCGAATAATCTGTATTACTGAAGCTTTGGCTATCGAAAGAGAAAAGCCAGATCTCTGTGTACAGAAAAAGTTCGTTCAACCCCTCCAACTTTCATGGTCTTAATCCCTATATGCTAAAATATGGTAATCCCCAATCATATTTTAGCTCTACCAATTTTTCACTTTGTCTATTCAATTTGTATACTTTTCCTTATTAAGTCAATTGTTATTATTACTATTCTCACTTTGAACTGTCCCCGGTATTATTTCACTTGTTCCACTTGTCATTCTAAATCAATTCTTTTTACAACGTTAAATTCTATGCTATCAAATTTCACGCAATATTACGTAACGTTATTATTTTATTCGATTCGTCTACTAATCCTACAATTGCACACCATTTTTCAAGTTCTATCCATTCTATGAATTATTCGATATATGACATTAATCTGCTTTGCCACTTGACATTTAACTACGATTATAATCACAAACATTTTAGTTTTAATTGAACTTCATATGATTATTATTATTATTTTGTGCATTCACACCTAAGATTCAATTCCCTCACCGGATATAACTTCTTAAAAACCATATATGTACGATTGTGCAGCTTGATGATAAATTCGTTGAAAAGAGTCTCTTCGCTGAATCACTTGTTTCGATTTTCTATATGTTACAATGGGAATTTTCCATGAGATTTAATTTCATCAGTGGTTTTCCAAATTTCCACTTACGCCATTAAAAAAACGATAGACTGAGCGGAGAAATATGCATTCCTTTTCAGTTAGTTCCTCATCATTGCATGACTCTACACTAATGTATGGCTTTTTACATCAAATTCTCATTTACCAATCAAGTAGTTATTTTAGTTAATTAGTTTTAGGTATAGGTGGAGATGAAATTAAGAGCTTAAAAGTTATCAAAACAATTAACCTAATACATGTTGCTAACAAGATGTCTATGTTTTGAAAGAGGGGTGAAAATTAATTACGGAATTCAAGATAAGTTGATTCTTAGGCGTTAGTAACAAGTTATTATATAATCAACAACATTTGTAAAATAGCACTGCTGACTTAGACGAATAGAATGACTCAAGAGAGTTATGAAAATACAAACAAGCAAGTTAATAGAATTAGACAGAATTGAAAAATATGATGAAAAAAGTCAAAAGATAGTTGCAAAGGGAGGGGATCAAAAGTCTTTTTTTTTAAACTTAATACATATTATGTAGTTGGTCATGGCAAAGAAAGAGGCTGTATGAATTTCCATATTGTGATGATTCCATATTGTTTATTTTTTTCGGGGGGTATTAGATAATCTCATGGCGGGATTGTATTATTAACTGGATCCAGTAAATATCGTAGAACAAGGGAAGTTGAATAAACTTAACAGTAATCTCAAAGTTACACCTTACAGCGCTTATTGACAATAAGTTGGTTTCCCAAAGATGCTTATTGTCACGTCATGTAACCAATTTTACACCACGAAGACGATGAAGTACTAGTGACGAGACTGTGTCGTATAAGTAATATGGAATTCAAAGCCTCGATAGTTTACTACCATATAGCGAAGGAACATCAGAGGCCTTAAGCAGAATTCTTAATAAGGCTGAAATTAATGTGGTGTTTAAAACAACCATCAAACTTACTCCGAGACAAAATTCGTCAGATTAATGACCTCATAGACCTAATTAGGAAAAATAATATGATTTACCGAATACCATATAATGACTTTAAGATCAGTAACACACGTCAATCTAGTAAATCGGTGTTAATTAAATTACTTGTACGTTCGAAATTTAGCTAAACCTAAAATGACTCATCCTGCTAAGTTAAATGATCTAGACACAAGCCCGGCCGTTGTAATACATTTACTTGCACGTAGCCACACAATAGTGTAGAACAGAGTAAAAGTATTAAAAAGTTATATATTTATGTGGAGAGAGAGAAGTCGATCACTGAATCTTTGTTTATCGATTCCACATCACACGTGTGTAATCAAAATGATTGGAGGATTTCATCATGAGCTGACATCAGTTAGTGAACCATTGGAAAGCCACCTGGGAGTACTGGACAACTGTTTTGTCCTAGTTTCAGACTCTTCCGCAGTGCGCACACACCCCGCAGGGTTTGAACCCAGGATATTCTGGTTACAAGGCTAGTGAGCTTGTAGACCATTAAAGCCACTGGGACCCGAACCAATGGCCAGTCCATGAATTCTAACTTCTACTAATTCATGACATAGCACAAACAATTCACAATGTCTTCTTCGATGAGTTCTCTAACTGATGGCAGCTCATAATGAATGCCTCCAACCAGTCAGACAAAATCCCCACGAAAATCAATTCCCGATAAGCAAAATGATGCAAAGTTTATGCCGGATATATAGAGGATTGTAGTAAACAACAAGGGGGTGTGGTGGAGAAAAAAGAATACTAAGCAAATTATGGAACTGTGTGAATAAATCGATTTGATTATGAGCAATAAATTTTTCTCATCCAGTTATTAACGCTATATCCGTCACTGTGTGTTTTATATAAGATAAGCCTATCTAACATAGCGGTTAGGACGCTCGCCAACCATGCATGTGGTCCGGGGTTAGATTCCCGGCCGACGCACTCCATTACCTCGCTAAGCCAGAAATACTGCTGGTAAAGAGGAAAGGTTGGGCATGAGGCTAGCAACCCCATCCTGTAAAAAATAAACACTGCTACAGAAACTTCAAGCCACTAGCTTAAAGCCCTATGTTCCACTGGGAACGTGAAGGAAAAATTATTATTATTATTTTATTATCTAACACAGAATTATACTGTACCATAGTCCCCAAAAATCCTACTCTTACCTTAACTTACAGCTAATCGACAATGAGTTGATTTTACAAAGATGCCTACTTACATGCAACGCGACCACGTTTACGCCACAATGGCATAGTAGAATCCTTAGGTTCAAATTGTATTATGTCTGCTTGACATCGAAGTTATAATGGATAGTAAATAAGCCTTTTCTGAAAGTTGAATGGAATATAGTTGATGTCTGATTCATTTGAACGACCCAGTTGCTATTGTTACAGTAGATTAGTCAAAGATCTTTAGGAATCAACAATCGACTGATAATACTTGAGTGAATACAGAACATTTGTTAAGTGTCATACATAGTTTCTTTTGCAGTGAAAATGCTTCTGAAAATGTTTTAAAATAACCATTTTGACATGTTAGTGAAATTTATCTGGGTAAAGACCATTAAAGACTGCTTCAACACTACAGCGTGCTTCAAACCTTCACCAGCTTCATTCAGCAGCTATATGATGACACCACATGTCAGCTGATTCATAGGGAAAAGCTCGGTGATACCTTTGAAGTGGAGACAGGAGTAGGACAAGGTTGTTTACTACAATTGATGTTATTCTTCACTGTGGTGGATTGGATCATATAATAGACAGTTAAAAGCGAGAAGACTGGTATACGCTGGGTAGACAAGAAGACTGTGAAACACCGGGATCTTGTGGACGATTTATAGCCAGAAATCAACAAGTCCACAAAAGGTGCAGCAAAGACAGGAGCTTGAGTGAACATATAAAAGACAGTGCTGATGCGGATAATAAATTTACAGCAACCAGCAGCAGTCATCGTCAAAAGGAGGAATCCATAGAAAGTCAGTTCTTTCACTTATATAGGCAGAGTCATTTCAATTACAGAAGTAACTGCTGCGGATGTTACAGTCAGGATCGGAAGGATACAACAGACCTTCGTTGATCTGAAGTCATTCTGGAAATATACTGCACTAAGCATAAAGAAAAAGATAAGGATCTTCAGGACTAGTTTCAAGTCAGTAAGTTCTTCTATATGATCCAAACACTTGGTGGGTTACCAGAAGCATCTTGGAAAGGTTTCAGACTTTTATTGGCAGCATTTTTCACTGAAGATACTGAAGATCAGGTAGTAAGTCGGGAAGGACATGTAACAAGTAGCTCTAGGAAAGAATTAACCAAGAACCAATCGCCGAACAAATATGCAGAAAGAAAGTGAGATGGATTAGACATACAGCGAGGTGATATCAAACGCCAGCCTGTCAAATGAAACGCAAATGTGGAACAGTGAGCTGTGTATGCAAGGATAAAATGTGAGTGATCGTATGAAGAGGATATTAGAGCCTATGGGTGGACAATCGTGAAGCAAGCTAAAAACAGTTGCAGAAAGTAGAGAAGTAGGATGAAATAGAGATGTGATGTGTGAAGCCCTATGTTCCACTGGGAACCTAAGGAAATAATAATAATAATATAACAGTGTAGTTCTGGGAAGAAGGCTTCAGTTGATGTTAGATAGATGGAAGCACTTGACACGAAACCTTGCACCTAAGTCTCGTGCTTATTGGGATTTGTCAGCAATGCGTCTCTGTAACCTCAGAGCAACTGTTATCCACTTAGAGATTCGAACCCACATCACCCGTTTTTGTATGTTACCAATGAGCTATTCAGCCTCACTAGTAGCTTCTTATAGAATTCCGATGGATTTGTTTGCAGACTTTTCTATTGTTCACGACACGAAATGTAGTCACCTGGGATATAAATACCAGGTTATATTTGGTTGTTTACTTTATATGAGATGTATATGTACCATATGTACATTTTGTGAGTTTTATTTGTGGTGTGCTAATAAATACTTTTGAATTAATAACTGACAATATGGAATTCAAGTGTTGGTTAGTAGGGATTTGATTGGTTTCAGGATTTCATCATGAGCTGACATTAGTTAGAGAACCATTGGAAAACCTGGGAGTACTGGATAGCTGTTTCGTCCTAGTTTGGGACTCTTCATCAGTACGCACCCACCGGGATTCGAACCCAGGACCTTCCGGTTACAAGGCCAGTGATCTCGTATACCATTAAGCCACTGGGAGCCGATCCAATGGCCAGCCGATGAATTCTAACTTCTGCCAACTCACGACATAGAGCGACCACTAGCCATTGTCTTCGGCGAGTAGTTGTCCTCACACCCGACCCACTATATGACAATATGGAAGTTTAATTTGCAAGACTACTATTACTACTAATAGTTATCCATTTAGTACTATGTATTTTGTTTACTCACAGCGATTGGTTGATAATAAACAAAAAGAAAATAAGGCAATAAATTATCCCATATATTACGCATGTAGCTATTTTAACTGATGGTGACTAAGAGTGGAATCCAGAAGATGCGTTTCATCTTATTTGGGACTCGTCAGTGAATGTGTGCCTGTATTGTCAGTGAGTGGTGGTCTTCCCACTGTGACTAGAACCCAGCATCCATCACACTTCATACGTGAAAGTATTATCCACTAGGCTCTTGTGGCTAGCTATTCAGTAAGGAATAACTTTTTTGAAGGTGATTCATTATCGTGGTAAACCACTGCATATGAATTAAGAATAAAAACGTTCAGCGAAGAGTTTCTTTCCAGTCAGTCCATTCACTTAACTGTACAATCGCATTTGATGATATTAGATGGTTGGAGGCAATCGTCAGGAAGCCTTGAAACTAAGTTTCGTGCTAGTTGGCGTATCTGCAACCTTGAAAGGAACTCATGTCCCCTCTGTGATTCGAACCCGCATCAACCAATGCTGCAGTCATATACGTTACCACTAAGCTATTCGGGTTTACGACTGACCTCCTGTAGGACTGTAGTGGATATTTTGATTGGACACTAGTAACTAGTGTGATGCTTCTAGTCCTTTCTTTGGTGCAGACTGAATTCTATCAGTCAGGTTTGTAATGTGGCCACTATTCTAGATAGCTGGCCGGCACGGTGCACATTGATTTGATTATATTAGAATGCTAAGAAGTGACAATGATTGGGTTGCCTAATGAAACAGCATGGAGACAAGTGTCCGAAATAAGTTGTATAATAGGTAGACAGAGTAATTAAAGGGTTGGCTAAGACGAAAGATGTAACACACAAATTCAGAAAAACCAGTAGAAAAATAACATTGTTAAACAACTTGTAAAATTTGCAATTATACACCCAAGGTAGAATGAAGTAGGGTGTGGAGAAGTTTCTTCCGTGTACATAAATCCGGATCGCTAAGGCCTCAGCAATGCAAAGTATGCAGTAGCTTACCTATTTCGGGAGGCTTCTTTTGACTTAAATGAGTGAATATGTTTTGAATCATTTATTTACTCTTTCCACTTATTACATAATTTATTTTGGACAGTTGTCTGTATTAACATCCTATCTCATATTACACAACCCTTGTCAGCACTTGCCAACCGGCGTCGGTGGCACAGAGGTTAGAGCGCTCAGTGACCATGCAGATGGCCCTGGGTTCACTCCCCGGCAGACGCACACTTAATATCAATGGTTGGCCTGCTAAATTTGAGCTACCGATATCACATGCTGAAAGTTCTATGGTTGTACCAAAATACTGTGTGGAATCAAGGTATAATAAAGTATAAAATAAAAAAAATAGTTACAATTTGACTGTTCACCACATTACGGAAACATTTTGATGACGTAAACAATAAATAACCCTAACTAATTTCTATTTTTGTTTGACAATCCCAATGTGTACATGCACACACAAAATAGTTATTTATATAGATGCAATTGTACAGTTAAGTGAATGAACTGGCCGGAAAGAAACTCTTTGGTGAACCTTTCTGTTCTTATATTCATGTCTGGATGCATACGAATTAGGCATTTATTTATTCAATCGTGCAAAGCCAACTTTGATTACGGTTAAAGAGATTTATAAAAGAAAAGTGGTAATCACATGTAAGTTCTTTAAAATAAAACGACATTTAGGTAGCTAAACTTGCTAATGTAACTCAGTTAAAAGAACTAAATCCAGTTCCAAAATAAAGATGTAGAATGCTGGTCACTAAGATAAATCACAAACAAATTATATATACGTATATATATATATATGTAAATTTATAAATTTACGTGTACCTGCGGCAGCAGGTACATCGGAAGGACAGAAAGAAGGGCTTTTATCCGGTTTTCACAGCGTCGGTGGCACTGTGGTTAGGACTCTCGCCGACCATGCACATGGTCTGAGGTTCGATCCCCTGCCGACGCACACCTGATCGGCCTGCAAAATTTGGGCTACCGATATCATATGCTGAAAATTCCATACGTGTACCAAAAATACAGGGTGGAATCAAGCTGTAATCAAAAATAAAATAAAATAAACCTACGCAGATATTTACAAAGTGCAATTACCAGACACCTTGTGGATACGGGTCATTTTGTCAAGATTTCAAAATTCCTCAAAATATTAAACATACAAAGGACAGCGAATCTACTACGACTTGCTGTAACAATTGGAATCAAACGTCAAAGACCAAACTTGTGCACACAGAGAGTGTAGTCAATCTCTCACTCCCTCGGTAACCATATCACTTTCATTACACTGATTAATCATACACACTAGTGGGCTCAACTTACTAAGCAAGTTTTCAAACTGATGAACTCTGACCTTCTTGAGTTGCCATGTTGACACTGTTTATTAGATTTTTCTGTTTTCTATCTTCTCTTACCCCCGCTTTTTCTTTTTACATAGCTTGATAGTATATAAATTGATGGTGACCTGATCTAAAAATTATATTACTTATATTCCAGATGCATTCACCTTATAATGTTTTCTCTATTACCTTTCAAACAATGAATTATGAAATGTTATTATTTATAACCATTGTAATTTCAGGGCGTTTACAGATGATGAGAACCTATGAAATAGAATGACATCATTTTATATTGTAAATCTGTTCTTTCTTACTCTATCGAAATTAGAATTAATATAATATTAACAGGATGTCAAGTTAGATCACGAAATGACTTCAGTTAAAGGACCAGTGAAAAGAAAGGAGTACTCGTGTTTGGGACCCCATTGAGAAAAAATGGAACTCAATACCTTCAGGTTACAAGGAGACGTCAGTGACAGTTCAGCCACTA